CAAGAAAAGAAAATCATTGCATCACAAATGTGCCCATATCTCTTTCCACACGCAGTTTTAGATGCGGGAACTGCCTTTTTCCTACTTTAATTCTTAGCCTTTGCTGTGAAGTGAGTCTAGATGTCCCCTTGACAATCTCCATTGGCATAAAATATTTACGAAGAGACATGGATGAAAATTTCCTAAAGGTTGTCATGGCTACGCCTAACAATTTACTCAGTGTGCTTCTGCATTTGTCTTAAATTACTCAGCCTTTCTCATACTTTCCCTCCATCGTCCAGCTTGACTCAGTTCCTATTATGGTATAATTTATCTGAGAATAATCGATCTAGCATAGCATATGTGACTCAGACATGAGAATAGGAAAAAGAAAAACTACTTCATCTTTTGTTTTTTGATCTTATTTATTTATTTAGTTGTTTGTTATTCATTTACTTACTTATATTTGCATCAGATTGGTAGCAGAGCATAGTATGTAACATGATCTCCCACAGGGGAATGTGATGAACTCGTCATACAGTGATCTCCTGTGTCATGGAAAATAATCAAAATACTTGCTACAAGTGTATGTGTGGTGCCATCCTATAGTGATTTTGGGATGAATTTTCAATAAATTAAACAAAAGAAGCTCCTTACAATCTCTAATTTAGAATGCACATTATAGTTAATGAAGAACAGCTCGGATCACTCCATGTGTGTCATGTTACGAGTGGACTATCCCACTTCAAAGTGAAAACTATTAATCTTCATTTTCTGTCTTTAGTATTTCCAAAATCTAAGATGTTTTATGGGAAAAGTACACACATTTTGCTCAGCTTTAGTAATTAATGCAACAAAAGAATGCAGGAAACAGTTTATATAGGCTGGGTACTAATTGTCCTGTGTTTATATTAAAAAACAAAAACTAACACACACACACACTGTTGAAGAAAATTATATTTCCGGTCAAAAGGAGTATTACTGCTAAAATGAGGAAATCGGTAACGTTAGATGAGCTGGGAAAAGCTGAAGATTCTTTAGTGTCTCTTTCAAACAACGATATTTTGTGGGAGAAGGTGAAGGAAAGCATCACATGTTGCAAAGTCACCTAGGGAACAGGAATTCCACATCCACGGTGGGAGTCTCTTGGGAATTTATGCATCGCATTATATGTCAAACATGATATATGATATAAACACATGTATGATATATTATATAAACATATATGATATAAACATATATGTGACATAGGATACAAATATATATTATATACATATATGATATAAACATATATGATATAAACACATGTGTGACATATGATACAAACATATATATGATATAAACATATGTGTGACATATGATACAAACATATATATGATATAAACATAAATCCTGAAATCATGTAAATATAAAGAAAGCCCATATGACCTCTCGTTTGGGAAATTTTGTTGTGTGATTTGTTTCTTGTTTTCTCCTATGTCAGAAAACTCAGTGCAAGCATAAGTTTTTATAAGTTATCCATTCTGAAAAACTCTTAGAAATCTGTGCTTAGAAATAGATGATCTTACATCTTTTATTTTTTTTTAATTGCAAATTTTCAAAAGCCTCTTTATGTTGTGAAAAGTCTTGCATCATTTTTGTAACTCTTATTTCCAAACTAGTTGTAAAGATGCTTAACTTATTGAATATTTTTTAAAATAAGAATCTCTAGGGGAGTCCTCCCACAAACACTTGAATATATAATAAGGGAAATACATAGAATATTATAAGGGGAGTACTTGATTTTAAGTTATTGCATTATTCTACATATCATCCAATAACGCAGTTAATGATCCAAGTTTGTAGTGGAACATTATTATCCAGAGAATAGTAGCACTCCACATGTTTAAAAAGAAAGAGAAAATTAAGATTTGTCACTCAACAATCACATATCAATCATCATCTAAATATCATAGTTACAATCAATAAACTTATTTATTATACTAAACAGATCTATTATTTAAATAACATAAGGAGATATTTTTCAACAACAACAAAAAGAGAAAATGAGCAATTAAGTCATCTTAAACCAGCATATAGTCATAATAATTAAAAACATGTTAATAAATACATTAATTCCAAAAATGCCAAATATTAATTTTAGATATTTGGTTTCACCCTTGTAATGTTCAATTGCCTGTGTTTTTATTAATATTTTTAATTTATGATAAAAAAAAACAAAAAACAATTTAAAGAATAATTTGCTAATTTTGATATAATTTGTTTCTTCCTCTTTGGTACTAAGAAGAATTATGACAAGCACTGTATTTAAGATAAAACTACTGTAAGCACAAATAATTAGCAATAGTGTAGTAGAATATGTTAAATATTAAGCTTTACAAAGATGATAACAGTTTTCAGTTTTGACCTGTGACTTATATATTATCTCCTTTCAATTGATCTCACATTGCAAAATAAATACAATTTTAATTGGATACTCTGTAGAAAGAGTGTTAGTGGTATAAACTGGCAAAAGGTAGAAAGGAAAAAATTATCTGGACATTTGGTAAAGAATGCAATGATTTCATGATTTATAACTTTCTTATCTTGAGGTATTTCCCTGCTACTCAGTGTAACGATATACTTATTTAAGCCCATATAGAATTTTCAACCCTTGTGAACAGGAAACCCTCATTGTTTTCACACACAACAGCTGTGAAAATATCCTGGCTCCTATCAGCATGTGTTCTGAAAAGCGTCAGTATTCATTGCTCCTGGTGCTGTCATTTGCTATCAGTCTCATCCTTAGCATTTTACAACAGTGAGATAAAAGTTGCGGCACAGGGTTTCTGAGAATGCCTTCCGAAAGTGAATTGCTGAAAGTAAATAACACAGTTTACAGTCGTTGTTGAGAACCTGTGTGCAAACCAACAGCATATAAATCTCTAATACTGAAACATAGACACATTAGCAAACTATTATATCCTGATATCAAAACATGAAGTATGTGTCATCACCAATTGCTTCTGATTCAGCCAAAGTTACCAATGACTTATCTTTTACTTATCCAAAAATTACATAAGGATGTGAATATTCTATAACTTTTTTTTTATCTGTAAGAAAGTAAGAATTGTGAAACTGTTATTTGGATTGATGTGATAATGTACACAGGAATATTTATCATAAGCTTATCAGTATCTTTTTTTTTCCTATAAAATTTTCAAAGCTTTTCCAATGAACTTTGATGCTGACCGATGTCCAGAAGTCATTCAACATTTTTCTCTAAGGTGCAAGAAACTTTCAGAAAGTACAACTACCTGCTTCTCTGCCACGCATACCTTTCAGGTCCATCATTTTGTTCCCGAAACTTAAATATTAGTTTCTTGCCATCAGAACACAAAACAAGTAAACTGCTATGGGGAGCAGATTCATTCACAGCTGAAATGTAACATTTTTTTTTATGCCAGTGGACAAACAGCTTTCTCATTAAGCCTCAAAATCAATAGCCAAAGTAAAAGTTGTTAAGGTCTCATTAATAAGATTAATTAGAGTTTCATGTTAACTATTCCAGCAAATTCTTCAGATTGCATTGCTAATTAATCAATAATAATGTAAAATAAATTTCGTTTACATTTTCCTAATTTGGTAGAAATTTTGAGAGTAAAACATCAACTGCTACTCGTGACATTATTCTGCTTTGAATAAAAGACTGGAAAAAGTAAGTGATCTATTTATCTTGTGGAGTTCCCAGCCTAAGTTTCCATCCCCTCTGGATATATTGACATGACAAAACCCATCATAATTCAATTGAAGCTAGTCTGACTAGAAAGTATTGATCAAGATCAACATGTCAGCATTTTCCCTCAAAGTTCCAATGCACTGAAAATCCAAGGCATATAGTTTTCTTTAAAGTTCAGAAATAGGTAGTGATTTCTCATAGTAAAAAAACATCAGATCACCTCCATATAATTTACAACTATCCACTCACTGTATAAACAGTATATTAAACTTTGCTAACTATAGGAACAAATAATCAATTACCACTAAAACACATTGCTGTTGTCCAGAAGTGGATTATTTAGACTCTTATACGTGTGAAAAGTACATAGCATACAAGGGTGATGGCCCATGAAATTAAGAATATTAATATTCTAGGGCAATACATGGTACTGACTGGAAAAGTATATTGTTTTCATGAAGTACGCTATAAGTCATTGTTCAAATTTTTTATATAAAAATACAAGTTGTATTTACTAAGCAGCAGGATTCCAACAATATTGACTTCTATCAGAATTTTTTGAGGGATACTTGGAATACTTATTCTCTGTGAAAGTTACTTGGACATGATTAAGTCATGTTGCAAACATATGCATTCTAATTGTTATGTGCTAAGTAGAAGAAAAGCAAAATACTACACTGTGTATTGCTTATCACATAAAGAAAATCTTTTGGCAACAAACATGTCAAATGTTGGGAGAAATTGCATATTAATAGCCTCTACTAACTACCACACCTCATCAGCAACAGGGGAGACAAAAGACAGACTTTAAGTTTCCACAGGATAATATTGTTTTTTCTTGCTGAGAAATAGAAAAAGAGTTAAAAATAGAGCAAACATCGAATTGGTTCTTGAAAGCCACCTTAAAAATTGAACGACTTAGTTGGCCAGATGTACTTAATATGGAAATACACACGAGACAGAAGGCAAAATCCAATCGCTATAATTGAATTTATATCAAACCCACTTCTGCTTCCCACAAAAGGCAGCTTCCTTCCAACCACTTCAAGTCAAAAACCAATCTATAGCCAAGTGGGAGAGAATACCTTTTCTTCTTGACCTCGAGTTCTTCTTTCTTATTTTATATTTCATTTATCATCTCAGTAACTGGGACCCAGGACCTTCTCAAAGTCCCCTGAAGTCTGTAAAATCTGTTCTGTGAGGACTTGGGAGAAACTCCCCATAACATTTCCCCCAAATACTCCCAAGGCAGGGTACATACCTAACCCATCCTCCGGCTACCCTTGCCCTGGCTGGTACTTACCTGATGGTCCACAGGTTCTGCAGATTTCACCAGGTGTTTATCCTTGTATAAAGACCAAAGACCAATATTGGGCAGGAAAATTAAAGCCACAGTGAATAACAAAGTCATCTGCAGAAACCTCTTCTGTTTCCTCTTCATTGCAAATGCTCACAGTGGAGAAAAGTTAGAGAAGTCTCTCTGCCTGCTTCTTGTGTGTAATGGGAAAGTCCTTTCTTGTCTCCTGGGAAGCACCAGAACCTGAGGGGAAGCTACAAACTTTTGTTGCCTGCTCAGCACCAATCTGCAGGGTTCAGAGGGAGTTGGCCATCTGCAGAACAAACGCACAGTTACTTTTCTCCAGAAAACTATGACGACGGCATTATCTATTGGCTTAGAAATATATGACTCAACTGAGGAAATCATTAAGTCTATTGACCTCCATTAATATAAAGCAGTGGAGCAAATACGATCGTTTCATAGAGTAATGATAAGTTATGGGGAAGTCAAGAGCATGCTAGAAATATCAGGAAATAGCAGGTGTTTTTCTGTCGCTGTTTGCCCACCATCCCCCGCCCTTAGTGTGGGAGGTCCGGGTGTAGAGTCGGAGATTAAGAGCGAAAACTGAATGGGAGGGAGTGGCTTGGTCCAGTCAAGTGTCTGGAAGATAAGTGTCCACTTTTGACATTGGAAAATCACCTTCCTTATCTTCCTATAACAGCTCTTCCTTTGCTTGCCTTGGGATAACCCACCTGAACTCAAGTTCAACTCCCTCTGGAGCCAGCTTGCCAGGCAGGATCCAGGACCACCATAGCCAGGTCAGAACTATGTTTGAATAAGGGTTCACAAACTCCTGAATCCTCATGCGCTGTCAGACCACTCCTCCGCAGGCAGCATCTAGGGGACCTGGGAACCTGGTGAAAGGAGACTACAGATGTCGGCTGAGTCCAGCCAGGAAGTGCAGGCGCAAAGATGACCCTTCCTCGTGCAGTCCAGGGAAGGAGATCCTCAGAGAAGTGTGCTCTCCGCCTATCAATCTCGTCCCCTTCCTCTGCCGACGCTCTCACGCTCCACTGTTCATGTTACCATTCTTTTCCAGCAACTGAGCGAACCCAGCGAAGCATCACCAGCACCTCCAGGGCAGTATTTCCTTTCCGATCTCCTCTTCACGTCAAGGGACGGATGGCTGGCGGCAAATGCCAAGTGTGACCCGGCTTTAGAGGCAAGTGGGAGAGGGCGCGCGGAGGATGAGTGAGGGATGGCGAGAACGCGCGTGGCGCTGGCACCCAGGCGTCCGCCTCCCGCTGGCTGTAGCTTGCCTGCTGGCAAAGGTATTAGTGCCTACCACGTGCGGGAGCCTAGAGGCCAGGAGGGGAGGGCGAGTCGCCAGGCGAGGGTGGCCACTGTACCCCGTATGCCAGATGCTATATAAACAAACCCAGAGGCAAGGAGGAAGGGGCGGAGGACGAAGACGCTGACGGAAAAATCGATTTGCAGCTCTGGGACTAGGGGATCTTCTTTTCTTGGGTAATCTCGGACCGGTAAGGAGACCGGTTCCTCTCTGAGCTCACCCAAAAGGCGCCAGACCAGATATTCCGGAGTCAAAGTCGCCCAGAGCGGGCGGGTAAGGGGAGAATTCCTCCATGGTACTGGTGGGATCCCAGCAAGGCAGGCGCGGCAGCCGCAGCGGCAGGGAGCAGAGGCAACCCAGTCTGGACCGGTCCCTGAGAAGAGGGTTCCCCAAGAATGTGGGTCTGCAGCCTAGGACAGGTACGTTGCATGCAGGGAGGATGAGGATCCCCACGCTGGACCGGCTCTCTAGCCCCAGCTTCCCAAGAACACCTTGGAGATCAGAGGCAGCTCTCCTGGAGCCCAGCACCTGGGGCCCAGGTTGAGATTTGGCTGCACTAAATGATGCTTCTCCGCCCTTGCTTGCCTGCACCGCCTGCCACGGAGAGCTGAGAGGTCTTCCTGCCCCTCACTGATCTCACACAGCCTTCCCTCAATAGCCAGAAACCCCAGGATTGAACTAAATCTCCAGCAGATGGGACCCTTCCCTTCTGATTAGAAAACTGATTCAGCACACGGGAGAACCTGTGGCCTCTCTCAGGAACCTGTGTGCTCTCTTGCACGGGATCGGGAGCGCCTAATTCCCGGTGTGAACTTAGGTAAGGCTACAGATGGGCATGCCGGGTAGCATCAGTATGTGCAGAGTCCCCCAGAACACCATGGTCACCTCTTTGTTACAGTCTAGACAGTGATGCCCACTTGCTTGAAACGTATGAGACTACACTCCAGATGGTTTTCTCATTCACCCTCATCCTCTCCTCCTCCCTCTCTCTCATTTCCCTCCCCTGCCTTCTCCTCCCCGCAGCCTTCTCTCTCCAGCTTGCTCAAGGATCCCACTTGAGAAAGCCCCCGATTTGATCTTAAAGACTTAAACCTTAAACTCTTCATGCGATATATTTAGAATGGACTGGAGCAATAAAGACTGGCCATGTGACTACAAAAATATGCTGTGCTTGTTTTTGTGGGATACTCGCATCACAGAATAGTTTCAAAACCCATTTAATAACTATTTTGAATGTGCCCTCTCTGTAAATAATAATAGTTACCTTTACATTTTACTCAAGTGCAATTTAAAAATTTCGAGGGAAAAGGATTTTACTACTACTGTCAAAGCACTCATGTACATACTCGTCCCTGTTCTGCATAATTTTCAAATCGCCTTCTTCTTCTGAGCTAAAGTGATTCTAAAACCGAGGGATTTGAATCCCGAGAAGCAATGCACTAGGGAGAGGTGTCTGAGAATAAATTAACTCTCAAGGATAGGTGTTTGGAGAACTATTTAAGGTTTTTGGTTATTTCTTCACTTTTGATACAGTTACTGATGATGTGAATAGGAAAAAAATAGCTTTGAAGTGCATTGGAAATTAAACAATGAAAATAACATTTTAAGGAGTACCTCTTCCTTTCTACCTTATAAAAATTAATGAATAAGGTACAGGAATACTCTCTATAGATCTGGTAAACTCAGGCTATGTACGTGGATGCTATCTCACTGTTTAATATTAGTTGATAAAGTTGCATGAAGTATCCAGCCAAAGATTAATGTTACCAAGCTAAGTCCATGCATAGCACAAATTAGACACTAGAACAACATTTATTTTAAGGCTTACTTATTTTATTGTATGCTTATAAGTGTCATATAACATATATTATAACATATATTATTAATATATATTTCATATAGTCACATATTCATATATATATATATATATATATATATATATATATGAAAGCGAGTAGTATGTCAGTGTACCACATGTGTGCCTAGTGCCTGTAGGGGTAATAACATGGCCTCAGATCCCTCTAACTGTATTATAGGAAGTTGGTAGGTACCATAGGGTGCTTGAAATTGAACCTGGGCCTTCTGCAATAACAAGGAAGTACTCTTAACTCTTCATCCTCCTAGAAGACAATCTTATTATGATCACCCCTGAGTTTACAGTATGGTTCTTGACCATGATTTTTGCAGCCCCCATTTAATAAATATTGATTTATACAATTTTGTTTTTCCTTATGCGGTTCCTTTATAATTTTATAACTATATTACCACCTTATGCAAATCTTAAATAATGAGAGATTTTAGATTGAATCTTCCCCAAACCCCTATATTATTGTTAATTTTATTAATTAATTCAGATGTATTTAGTGCCTCTGTGGACATGGGTAAGCCTGTTTAAAATAGATTTTAATACTAATTTAATAAAAGCTCTTATAGCTTTAAATAGCACTGCTTCATAGCAGAAGTCTATTCCTTACATCGTCATATGATTCATGTGACAGCCTCAGGAAGTCACCTCCCTAAGTGCCTAGCAACAGGCTAGTAACTCCAGGAAAAAAAAAATGGAAGAAGACAGTTTGACCTTGAGTAATAATGAAAAAGGAGGAATAAAGCTTTTGAGCCAACTTCTAATAAGGTAAAAAGGTTTTACCTGTTACATCTTCCTAACAGAAACTTTAATGACTTAAAAATAACTCCTGTGGTTTCATGATTCTACATTTTAGCTTCTCTGAACTGGGTAGTTGTGCTTCTTGTAACAAAACAGATACTGTTATTAGAAGAGACTGACTTAGGAGGCTAGCAGTGGGCGGTGGCTGCCAGTTGCATGGTAATCAAAGGAGGCAGAGTGCAGCCTCATCTTCGCACTTATCTTCACTTGAGAACTGTAACCTGAGCTGCTTACAGTGTGCTGGGTGGGGTCCCAACAGAAGCATCCCAAGCATGCATGGTCAGGACAAACTAATCAAAACCTGCCCGCTTTCCATAATGAGTGGACTACTTCCTCCACAGTCAGAGCACCAGCCTGAGATCCAGGACTAGGTGGGGGGTAAGGAGGAAAAATATTGAGAACTCAATAAAAGGTTCTGCACAGAGTGCAAGGTTGCCCTTAAAAATTATAGCTATCCAAAGATATAGTAATAGGAGTTCAGCGGGAGGCATAGCTAGCTAGGTAGAAAGCCGTGAAGGTCAATAGACTAAGATTTTAAGAGTGGCACATGACATCCTTGATTGCCAAAATGTTAGTGAGGTTGATTGCTTAATACTTTTCAATATATTACCATAGAACTGATTTAAAGAAATACGTCCACTCTCAGTTTTTCCTATGATTATAAACTTGTTTTACAAGTTAATTGGCTTTATATTCTAAAAGATAATACCTATTCAAGTTCTGTTGTTTATATATCAAAGAAAATTCATCATCTGCTTTGTTTGGTGAATACAATTATTGTCAATCTTAGTAACATGAAATGAAAAGCTGTTGATATTTAATATGAACTAAATACAGCACAAGGTACCATAATTTATTTTTAAGAATGTAAGAAAGGCTGGGCAGTGGTGGTGCATACCTTTAATTTTAGCACTTGGGAAGCAGAGACAGGTGGATCCCTGTGATTTCGATACCAGCCTGGTCTAACAGAGTGAGTTCCAGGACAGGCTGCAAAGCTACAGAGAAACCCTGTCATAAAAGCCAGAACTCTGGCTTTTACATCTTTAAAACCTGGATAAATTACTAAATTAAGTTGAGATTAGTATCTGTGTAACTACACTGATTTAGTTTTTAAAAACTGATCTGGCAGCATGCCCAGGACGTGTA